AGTTATGTAAAAAGATAAATTTAACGGAGTAAGACCAATGATTGATGTCCGAAACGTCAGTAAGTTATTTCACCTACTTTTTTACGGAGTTATAAATATCTTTTTATACATAACTGTTTGTTTAAAAACACTGACACAGTTCACACTAGTTTACCACTAGTAAAAGGGACATTTATTAGCAAACATTCTTCCCTCATGAATAGCATGAGGGACAAGTAGTTTCTAAAGATAAAAAAATGGACTTTTTTAGTGTGTACATGCCATGCTCTAGTATTCCATACTGAAGACATTTGTTCATTTGTCCTTCACATTCTGTCTTCGTTGGTTTTTTAAAAAAAAAGGAAACTATAATTAATCTAATAACTGATGAAAAACTATAAAATAGACCGTCATTTGGAGGTTTTAGAATTTATTTGACARCACAGCATTTGTTTAGATAGCTAGGATAGAATATTTTGWTTTCCTATGWGGWAACGTATTAAAATTGCTGGACTCTTACTGTGAACCTGTTTTTTTTAGGAACGTTTAATCCTTAAAATCCCTTTAGAGTCACGGTAATTGCTTAGAATAAATAATAGGAAATAGCAAGAAAATCACTGAATGATGTAGCCTTTTTTGAGCTTTTATGTTATTTAATAATGTRTTTTTGGAAACATTTCAGGAATTTATTTCAGTGCTGAAGGCCAAGTCTAATTATTTTTTGGCAATAGCCAACTATCATCAGGGGGTTGTAGCAAGAGAAAAAGGGTTATATGGAGAGAACGTTGCAAGAATGAAGGTATAATAATTCATAGAACAATAGCACAAAGAGCAATCTCTCTTTTACTGTGTTCATTATCATTATTATTGATTATTGTTTTCAACAAATATTTTTTGTAAGATTGCACTACAGAAATCTCAAGCAGCACAGAAGGAGAGTTTAGGGCTGTTTARTACCGATACTTGGGTAGATCGTATAAAGCGCTCTTACACCCAAGAYGACAAAGACAATAACCTTATTTATCATGATATGATACCTGAAGAAAGTAAGCTAACAGCTATTGGTCGAGCAGCCCTTGCCAAGCCTCTGCAGTTATCCAAGCCAGCATCAGAAAATTTTATGGATATTTTCACGAAAATGGTACCAATGGCTGTACACAATGCACTTGTTGCGTATGAAAGCCGTAAAGCAGAGATAGTTAATCTTGAGATAGGGAGAATGAGAGAGGGRACTCAGTTGATAAACAGGTTTGCTACTTTTATTTGATACTTTTAACGCCATTGATATATGAAATTCTTAAATTATTGATGATTTGTTATCTTGCAGTGTCTTAGTTTCATTGAACCTCCCTGCTGCAATTGAGGATCTGTCTGGTGATAAAGTTCCCAAGTCTGTTTTAGAAAAGGCAGAAAAGGTTCAAGAACGAGGAGGAGTGGCTACTATAGATACCCTAATGCAGGACCTTCCTGAGCTGTTACAGCGGAACCGTGAGGTGTTAGACGAGGTAAATGTGCCGATTATGAGAACGGTT